AAGGAACAAAATGTGACTTTATAAAGTCAAAACTGTAAATGATTTGACTCTGTGTGAAGTGATTTGACGTGCTTATGTCAAAACTGACATGAGCTTCACGGCTTCCTCTGTCCCTGGTGTGCCAGCATTTATAGACTGAGTGTAACTGAATCGATTCAACTATAGCCGTCAACCTGAGGGGTGATAACTTTCTGAATACAGTCACCAGCAGCACTGGTTTGCCTTACAGGTGCCAGACAGAGATACTGGGAGTGTCATGGAGGCTCCACCCGGCCTCCACTTCCTCTCTTCCCCTCTGGCTGCAGGCAGGTCAGGGACACGCCGGAGATCAATAGCTTGCGTTTGCCCACAGCAGCCCCATTTCTCAGCCAGGACACTGATGCTAACTATCAATAGTAATAAGGGCCTGTCTGAGACACAGTTAACTGCTGGCTTACACAGCTGTCTGGCGTGGGTTGATAAACATCTTGTGCCCAGAGTTACTCTGAATAAACTGCCTGATATGGTAAAACTTTGTGGGTGTATTTACTGTAAGAGCATGTGTGTGTGTGTGTTTTTTTTTTCTTTTCTTTTTGTTTGACGTGGCGTGTCTTGTATTGTGGTTACCTGCACGCCACTTGGTGCACGCTGTCGTGTGATACAGACATCACATGTGTGGACTCTGCATGTCCTGCGTTTGAGTGTGTGAAGTACCATATAGGGATAATTCAATGTATAATTTTTAGTTTTGCTTCCAGGTTCTTAAAAATACATAAACACTCAGCTTTCAGGGGGTGATGTGTGTAATTTCTTCAAGATGTGAGGAGTGCTCGGTTCCTCTGTAACCTCCAGTCGCAGTGATTTGTGCCGATGTAATCCGGCTCTGTTCTGTGAAACATCTAACGAGCTAAGCATCTCTCTTCATCCAAATATCATTCGTCAATGTCATATGAAAGCACAATGTGTTTTTTTTAAAGAATGCAACGGAGCTAAAATAGGCGTCTCGGTTGTCCGCTGTTTGTCGTTAATGCAACTCAAGCAAGCAGGTTTAATCACATACAATCAAGTGAATTTGTATCATAACAAGTGGACGATTTAATGGTCGCTTTTCGTGGATGTGTGCATCCAGTTAGGAAAAAGTTTGGGTTATGAGTAATGAGGGACAGAAACAAATTGTAATGTAGATAATTAAAAGTTCGAGTGTTTACTTGAGTAAGTGTGTGAAGTAAGAACTTAGTCTGCTGAATTTTCTCAATTTCAGATCATTTAAATGTTGAAAAAAAATAGCTTTGAGTTAATTTCACATACGGTACTTTGTTTTTTATATTCCACTTGATCCTAGTATTTCAAGGGATGCTTCTTCTACAAATTTTGATTCATTTTTTTTACACACATGAGGAGTCTGTCTGTGTGTTGCAGGAGCCTCTCAGTAGGTCTCAAAATTAAATAACAAGTTAAAGCCAAGCCAGCACTGACCATTCTGTTTCCCTCAGTATTTATTGAATGTACTTCCTTGTTGTTGTGCAAGTGTTTTTAGACGACACAACAAGATGTAGTTCCTGGTTTCCACTTACACCAGGATGACTCTCCTCACCTCCTCGGATTCTTTTGGCTCACATCTGAGCACTTAGAAGGTACACTTGTACCTTTGCAGTTGCACAGCTGGTATACACAGAGTTGCAGAAAGTAGTCAGTGTGTGTGTGTGTGTGTGTGTGTGTGTGTGTGTGTGTGTGTGTGTGTGTGTGTGTGTGTGTGATACTGATGTCTGAACCAGTAGTGCAAGCGCATGCAGCAGTTTCACTCACACACAGTGGAGAGACACGGTGTGTGTTTGTGTGATGGGCTGGTGACCTCTCACGCCGATGTGACACTCCTGAATGTTTGCTTGTTTTCCCTCAAACACGCTGGGTTTGAAGGGGGTGTGTGTAGCTGCAGCTGAGATAATGTAAAAACAAACACGGCCCATTGATATGGGGTGATGCTGCAGGAAGTTGTCAGGGGGGGGACAATGGTGGGGGGGGGGCAATCTGTGGGACAAGTGGTGGCAGCGCTGCTGGAGGACAATAGAGAGGGTTTGATCTCTTAATTAATGGAGGCTATTCTGTGCTGCTGCAGGTACTGAATTTTAATGCAGGCAATTTTTCAAAGGGCTTTCTTTAGGGGCAAAACACGGCTCTAAATGCCACTGTGTGATCATCAGGAGGACAAGTCATTTCAGTTCATACCTGAAATATTTGTCTTTGTGTTGCAGATGAAACTGCAGATGAAGGTTTTTTTAAAACTTAATTTGAATGTTGGGATCTCATTTCTGTAAACACCATACACTGAAATGTGTCTCTGAAATTTGGAAATATTTTTGAAATATTACACATAGATTGTTTTCAAATGACCACAGCTGGAAAACTTGGAGAAAGCTGCCCCGTTCCATTAGTCATACAGTGACAGTGTGTGTGTGTGTGTGTGACTGAGGAAATTGTGGGCCTATTTCTTTATTTCTTTGAGCATGAGGCCAGCTTACAACAATCCCTTTAATCAAGCTCCTAATCCTTTTGCAAGACGTCAGCATGCCATGAATAAGGCCATGCACTTCTTGATATTTGTGTTAGAGGCAATGGAGGTCAAATGCTTCATTAAATGTTCATCAGAAATAAGGCTTAATACGGCAACAACGTACTTTAAGTGTGCCTCAAAAAAACGTAAGTATTGACGAAGAGAATTGAATAGTTGCTTTGTGAGTCTGCTGATATGATTTCACTTTGTTTTATCAAAATGTAAGTCCTCTTCTGATCCTAAAACCGTAAGTGTGAGGGTAATTTTCATCCAAGAGTCTTGAATTCTCTGTTTTATTAATCATACATTAACTCTGTATTAATAAGACAAACACAAACAGCCTCTGTGCTGGTGCATAAGTCCTCTGTAAGAGTTAACACCCTGAAACCTTCAGACTATGCATCCTGATAAACACTAGACCCTAATAAATTTACCTGCTTTCTTTCCACTGGAGCTCCAATCATAACACACACACACACACACACACACACACACACACACACACACACACACACACACACACACACACACACACACACACACACACAGAGCTTACACACATGTGCAGCTGACCCAGATGAAGGCCTGATCCAGCTAGTTGTAATTCTTTAGGCATCGCGTCGAGCAGGAGCAGGACCGTGAATAGAAACCCACCACGTGTTGAATGCGGTGTCACAGAGAAAAGGGTCTTTCTGCTCACAAATCCACTGTGTGAGGATCTAACAGCGCGCTCTCTGGGAGATTCCCCCGCCTGCACTATCACATTATGCGCTTAAACGCGCAGTGTTAGTCGGCTATATGATCAATCATGGGATGTCAGTGATAATACTGAGTGATGGCACCCGGGCCGGACCTTCTGTGATATGTTGCGCACAGCATTGATTGCGCGTAAAAGAGTAATGCGCACTTTTTATGCGCCAGAGGCTTCTGTCATTTTCCTCTGCGGAAAACAAAGTCCATGTTTTTTTTTTCCACACCCGAAAAAAACGAGGCTGTTAAGGGCATCAAGACTTCACGTGCGACCAGTTTGATTTATTAAAAATAAATCTATATTAATAATTAAATGTTTGTCATCAGGAGTTTTTCTCTCAAATCATGCAGATCATGTTGAAACATTACCCTTTATTCCTGTCTTCTCTTTATAAGCACAGATCTGATAATTTGATTGAATGAGTGTTGGAAATTATGAGTAATAATCCGAGTCAACAAAGACAGACTCAGGCAGCTGCACCTTGATGGAGAGAAATAAATTCAAACTGTGTGTTAAAAACTTTCTCAGAAGCAGACACTGAGTTATCATGTGTGTTGGGGTCCCCACATTGTGTCCGTGCGTGCGTGTGTGTGTCATCCAGCGCATGATTGTGAACACTGTATCCTCACCGTCCCGACTGAATCCCATTTAAAATGTCTCGCGCTCGGCTGGGCTGCAAATCACCCTGTTTACAATCTCACACCAACACTCACATCAATTAACTGGCCATTGATTTTCCCGCCCGGGACATTACAATATTGCAGACCCTTTTTTTTTCTTTCCTTTCCCAGCAATTTCAAGTTTGCTGCACATAATTGCAAGGGCTTTTTAACGGCACATCCTCACATCCTCTCCTAATGATGATTTGTACTTTGATTTTCTTAGTCACAGCTCACATTTCGATGCTGTACAATTAAAGAAAAGTGCATGCATGTTTTAGTTTTTCTTTCATAATGCGATGATAAATCAGATCAGCGGAGGCAGAAGAAGTATTTGATTTCCTTCCTGCTCTTTCTTTTTTTCATGAATAAGTAAATAGTAAGGCTAGTCGAAACTAAAAGATAGCTGACACAAGAGAGGACCAGATCCATCTAGCCTGCAGCCGCTCTTTAAATATTCAGTGAAAAATAATGGCATCCGAGGCATCACCTATAGTAACATTATTATCTTCATTTCTCAAAATCAGCTCGACTGAGAGCTTCGTTTATCTTTTTCACCTAATAAATCCACTCGACTCAGCGCGCACGTGAAGCTCCTGTGGGACCTTTTGCCCTCTTAAAACATCCCCACTGGTGGCGCTCTCCGATTAGGGCGTTATTGATAATAATAATAATAATAATAATAATAATAATAATAATAATAATAATAATTATAATAAAATGATTAAGGGCATTATGATGATATTTTCATTCAATTATTGCACTTTTAGAAACTCAGAGTCTCTAAAGGTTAATAAACAAACATGTTAGTAAAGACATAAGGCAGATATCTAAGCTGTTTTAACTGGAAAAACAACCAAACAAACTGTGATGCAACAATGTAAGGACAAAACCTGTTTTTATTTTTGGTTGTAAAAGTTATTCAGATGGATTATAATCGAGATCAGTCCACCTAATGTCAGTGTGCGGGTTTTGTTAAAGTAAAAATCGTTTTTAGAAGAAACAGAAAGCTTTATTTATTCCCTTTCAGATGAACAGACTTGTCTCCTCCGCTGTCTTTACTGCTGATCGTCCCGATGCGCACAAAGCGTTTGGGGCTGCCGTGCGCGATCAGAGAGAGAGAGAGAGGTGGAGAGAGAGAGGTGGAGTGGGAGGGAGCGATGAGGTGGAGGTGAATGGCAGGATGACTGAATAGCCCAGTGACCAATCAGATCGTCGATGGGCCGGGCTCCACATTTTGACCCAGCACTGCACGGGCCCTCAAAGTTTGTTTATTCGCGGAATGCAGTGTGTGATGAAAACGTGTTAGTAAGTGACCCCCCCTTTCGACTCATAACAATCAAATGAAACTGATTGGGACGTCGGAATACGCCGTGGACTTTTGGGAACGAGAACCGGTGCCATTTACGCACGGAACATGCTCGCGCGACGCTGCATTTGAGCGCACCGGGAGCCTCGATTGAAGAAACTCTTGAGAGAGTAGGTGTCAGTGTGTGCAGCACGAGAGCTGAACTCCAGCGATCTGAGCGCGAGAGCGGAGGACGGACTACCACCGACGACTTTTTTTAGAGAGAGGAAGAAAGTTGGCGGAGCTCGCGGGGGGCTCGAGAAGTAAACGTCCACTCAGACATCATCTTTTTGGAGGCAAAGAAAAACTCTGATCAGTGCTTGATCGATGAGAAAGACTGAAGATAGTGTCGCAGGCACGCTGACATTCCCCTGTATGTAGTAGTGAAGATAAGCGTTGACTCGGCCAACAGAAGGGGTTAACGCAGATCTGAAGGGAGTTTGGAAAAGCCTGCCTTTCTTCGCGGTACGGATCAACTCATTGGGTGGGAGCTGAGAGAGAGACAAGAGTCCCCAGCAAATCAGGAGCTAATTGATTAAAGAGACTTCATTTGAATAGGAGGGGGGCTGGCGAGGTGCCAATCGCCTTTCAAAGAAGCCCCCCCTCCCCCGTATGATTAATCGCAGAGCATTATTGATAATCATAACGCGGCACATGCGCGGTGGATGGGCTCGATTTACGTAATTTTTGAGAAGGTTTTGTAGTCATTTTTTTATTCTTCGCCTGCTGATGTGCCAGCCAGCATGTCGCGGAGGAAACAAGCGAAGCCACAACACTTCCAATCCGACCCTCATCTGCCCTTATCGGAGCACAATGGTGAGTCCGAGGGACATATCGCTGCCTTTATCCCGGCAGCGTCAATGTGTCACTTTTTACGCTCTTTTCTCCTGCCTACTCTGAGCACATGTGACGGTAAAAGTTTAGACTCTGAATTGGACCACAGACTTTACTTTTGTCTTTTTCTATTTCACCTCCGTGATCCTTGTTACCTTTTAGGAAAAGCAGATCTCTCGATTCTCTGAGTGACTCTGTATTGGAGCTGGACAGGAATTTGAAACTACTTTTTAAAATGTCTTTCTACATTTAAGATCAGCTTTTCAACATCCTACAGATTTAATCCTGAAAAGAAGAAGTTAAAAGTTAACAGTTCTGTATTTATGTTAGGGGTAAAAGTTTCCAAACTTTTATCACATCAGCTCGGCTCAAAATGCTGTTTTTCTATCTTGTTTTCTCCTCAAACATGCTCAGGGATGAGTGATCGTGCCTCATCGAGCTCTCTCTGCCCTCAGCGTCGTCTCCTCTCCGCGGAGAGAGAGTCAGAGAGCTCCGTGTCCCTCCGACCGGGGATCCAACTTTTCTTACGTCCAAGACACTCAAACTCGATTCCCGCGAAACAAACCTGTACTCCTCCGTGTTTCTATACTTCAATCTTTAGTTAAAAAAATGATCACAGTAATTCATCTGCTGTTTGAGCGCCAGCGTCCTTAATCGTAAAAAGTTGGATGAAAGGAGCTGTAACAGTTTTGAGGGCACAGACCAACACACATCACAACTATCAAACTGAGTGTGAAAATACTGAGTCTAAAGCCGCTTTAAAAAGTTACTGTAGTACTTTCTACATGATTAAAACTAGTTTTATTTGGACATAAGGGATAACCTCAAAATGAAGTCATAAACTGACTCGGTATTTGACTTCTTGGAGCTCGCGCCTGAACGACAGATCTGGCCTTCTGTTTGGAAAAATTCACTCTGATCAATCTTTATTCTCAAAGTGAAATACTCTTTTCAAAATGCTGCTGTAAGGTTTGCCGTAAAATCAATAAATGCAGTGATATTTTCAGAGCTCAAAGTGTAGGACTGTGATCTTGTGCTTTAGAGTTTCACTATCAGCTTCAGTCAGTCAAACAAGAAAACAAAAAAATAGGCTGTAAGCTTTTTATATACAGACAACAGGCAAGTCCTAAAATGTTTAAAGAACATAAAGACTTGTTCACAAAAGGAGATAAATTACAGTCGGTGTTTGAAAACAGGAGGTTGCTGTAACGACCATCGTTGTTGGCCGACTTTGGTTCTCTAAATAAAACGGCTCTCTGCAGGAAATCGTCATAATTTACTTTGGATGATTTTAATAAATATTTCTAAATGAAACGGAGGCTCGTAGTCGGACTGACATGACGTGATCATGTCCTAATTTTGCTCTATTAAGCACGAGTTTGTTTTATTATTTATTAATGTAATTCGTCCAGATTAAAAAAAAACAGCGTTATGACAGCATAGAGATAAAATGAAAAGACATTAGTAATTTTAGAAAGGCCTGTTGGACAAGGCCTGTAAATTCAATATGGGCAATTTGAAACTCTCCTAGCCACTTTGTGTCCAGCACTGCCTGAAAAGCATGTGCAGGTAATTTAAGAGAAAAATCTGCTTCTTTCTGGGAATGTCATACATAGAAAAAGTATTTGCTGCAAATTTCACGTGATTTTTAGGAACTTGATGATGAATGTAGGACGCAGTTCATTCCTGACTTTCTGTGTTTTCTGCATTTTCCTTTAAATCTAATAAACTCTAATGAAGAGTCCTTTTTGTTAGGTGGACTGCAGATTGCAAAAATTCCCAATTATGCCCGCTGCTGTGACAAGTGTTGAACTTTTGCAAATATCTAGTGTGTAATTACAAGGGCATGGTCATGTTTTCTTTAGCTTCAGGACTATTATACTGACAGAGCTCATAACAAATGTGCTGTGTGTCTCCTTTAGGAGCCGGAAGTGAGAACAGAAAGTCATTGTATTTGTAGCTGAATAACAGAGATGCTGAGGGCCCTGGTTACTGGGAGGTCGGAGTGAGAGCCACAGAGGGTGGGATGTTGAGCTGTTTTAACCTTTGCCTGTGTCCCTCTGTGTGGAGGTGAGGGAAGTTCAGGGCCCAGTGTGTTCCTCTCTACCTCACCATTGACCCCTCTGATCTGAGCTGCAGGCTCCCTGGCGAGGCCCTTGCTTTTTATTTAAGTTTGTGTGAGTGTTTGTATGTGTGAGGCCTTATCAATGTTGTGGCCGTCCCCTTTTGCCCTATCAGAGTGGCCCCCTAGAGGGGAGATTGGCAGGGCGACCCGCTTTGCACTGTTGTTCCTTGCAAACAGAGAGTGCGGTTGCTTGTCGTTTTGCCAGTGTTGATGTGGTGGGGAGTCTAGGTGTAGCCTGAAGGACTTGCTTTGCCTTTTTTTTTTCTCCTCCCTCCCCTTGAGCTTTAAGCATGTCACCGGGGCAGAGTTTCTCAGACGTGAGTCTCGTCCTGGACCTCGGCACTTTTAGTGGAACCCCATCTAGTGTTCAGTGGCTGGAGACGATGAAAGCAGAAACCCTCCTGAAGTTACAAGTGTCAAGAGGCTCACAGAGGCCCCCCGCGAAAAAATAATGTAGGATCTCTCAAAGATCGCCGTCAACTTTTTTTTTCCACTAATCCTCGCTTTCTTGGCTCTCATATTCACCCTTTGGTCACTGTCTTTGAGGCTTTGCCTTCTACTCTTTGTCTCTCCTGACGCCCTTTAGCTCTGTGCACTGCTTACACCGTGCTTCTCAAAGAGGTTCTATGGAAGTTTTACAGACTCCATCTTTTCTACCAGCTTGACTTTATCTTAATTTTAATTCGAAGTTAATCCTTGCTATTTTGGGAATTAAGCCTAATGCTAGCATCTGTGCTGTTTGCTATACTCGACTTGTGTGGACAGTGGATTTGTGATCATGCATTGATTTAGTTTTGATTGAATTTCATTTTGAGGAGACTTTTTGGTCATTGAGTGTAGGCACACACATTACACAGCTGTAGATGAATCTCTGTACCTGCAGACATTTAAGTTGATGAATTATCATTATAACATAATTTTTTTTTGTACTTTAAGGTTATTTTCATTTTATCCTCTCACATTCCAGACTAACGGTATAGGTGGAGACGGAGGGATTGTGCACTGCTCTCTCTCAAGGCTTTTTTTAATTCCTCCACCTCCTCAAATAGTAAAATTCACTGGGTAATTTTGGAGAATATGGCATCTTTTATCTTTCTGTTTTATTTTTTACAATTACATATTCAAATTATTGTTGTATTAATTATGAGTTTTTTGCGTGCGTTTTAAAATGACTGGTATTTGAGTCTTTTGACTAAAAAAATGTTTGAATGCGTGCTGAAAAAAAGTATTGTCACTTGTGTGCGTATGATATTCTATATGATCAAAATTAAACTCTTTCTATTGTATCAGTGAAATGATTAATGCATTAAATTTAAGCACACGCCATTATTTCTCAAATAACACGTATATATTTAAACATATCAATAACATATATTCAGTGTGTTGTTTATTTTTCCTCGTGCTCTGCGTAGACTCCAGCATGAGCACACACACACAAACACTTATACACATGAGTGGTATATTTTTATTAATCCTGCGTCTTTCACAGTTTTTTGAGTGACAAAACTTTTTTTTCTTTTTCACGCCACTAAATGTCATTTGTATGGCTTTTCATCACACTTGTTCTTGTACTGTCAGCCTCGAGGAAAGCGAAAAGGTGTTTATGTTTCCTCACATTTCTCACACTGTGATTCAAACACATTTTTTAAAGTTGGCGGATGGGGTGTAGGTAGACGGGTGGGGGCTGGGAGTGACTATGGGGATTTAACATGAAAAGTTATTATTAAAGTTGAATCTTCCCTGTTTGCATGGTTTGGTGGTGTGAGGGCCAGGGTTTACTGTCATGGCAACTTTGCGTTATCTGATGTCTGTGAGCAGAGAAACATTGAGGGAGATAATCCCTGAATTAAACAGGATCTGCTTTGAGTCGACTGAGATGAGCAGGGCCAGGCTGTGCCGACGATCCCCGCCGCTCCCATGCTGCGCGAACAATGGGAAGGCATCCTGTCTCTCTGTGGGGCAGGGCTGCACTTCTCTGGGTTTCATTTGCAAATGAATTCTTGGCCCTGATGAAAGTGTTGAGGGGCCGGAGCCACAATGAAAGGGATTCATAGAGAAATGCAATTTGTAAATCAACTTGTATGTTAAACAGCAAGATTTTAGTCTGACAAAGAGGGGAAAGAATAAGGAAAGTCTGGAGCTCAGCAGTGGCTCTGGGGGTAGGGTGTCTTCTTGCCTTTTCACTCCCTGACCTGTCTGGTCATCAAGATGGAAAATTAAAAAACCTGTTTCTGTGCGCATTTGAAAGGTTGTCATCACTTTTAAATTTCATCTCAGTGAAAATGTTCTGTGGTGTTAGATCAGTTGACTGGTATGTCCAGTTTCTGGGTTTTGGCAAGTTTCAAATGCATGCATACTTATGCAACTTATTTTCCTAAGTTTCTACTGAGTAGATGATTTAAATAAGTAGTTTTACTCAGAAGAATTTACTGATGAGTGCTCTTTCTTTTGTTTGCCAGTGCTTTAGGGATAAAGTTTATTCAAAACTGTGGAGCCACTTCCTGACAACATTTACGCATTTTTAACATCTGTATAAGAAGGTGGACATCTAAGCCATAACAAATAATTTTCTTCTACGCGTTTCTCTGTTTACTCTTTTTCAGTTTTATTCCTTTTTGTTTGCTCTTAGTTTTCAGTGTGTCCACATATACGCCTGAATGCCACAGGCTCTGTTGTTCACATCTAACTGTGACTGCAGCATGAGTGGATACAAATTAGTTTAGTGACATAGATAACCTGTCCAAGATGCCCATAGTCTGCTGAAAATGAGTAAAGTTGACAGCAAATTGAAAGTCTAATAAGTCCATCAAATGCTTGATTTGCGCCAAGTGGACAAGTAGACTTTGAAGGGCATGGAATATAGGAAATCAATGTCTTTCTATGAAATTTCATTAAGGGCCAATGTCCTCACTTCATCTATTCTATATTTTGATGGATTATCTGGAGAAAATGATTACCTCTGGTTGGGCTGATGAAACCCAGATGTAAATCTTCAAAGATCACTTTTAGGGAATATTTGAGTGGTTCCCATTGATTTTGTATCCCTTCTTATCATGTTTCCGTGGTCACTGCATTGAATGGAGCCTTTTCTCATTTCTGCTGGCTTATTGTTGCCTTTCAATCGTTGTTTTTGTGAGCACATCAAAGGGATAAGTGTAAAACTGATTAACTTAAGATTAACAACAATGGAATCTGAGGAGATAAAGCTGCTTCTTCAGCTGCAAAACATTTCTAATCACTAATCCTCTGTTTCCTCTTTTTCAGGGGACACAGAACTTTGCTCAGAGGACCCCCCCTGCAAGGAGTCAGACGCCCACGTCTGTAGCAGATGTTGCGCTGAGTTCTTTGAACTATCAGATCTCGAGGAACACCAAAAGAATTGCACTAAAAATCAGTTAGTTCTGATAGTGAATGAAAATCCTGTCTCCCCCACTGGAACCTTTTCACCCGGGTCTCCTCCCCATAATCCCGATGACCAGATGAATGACACGGCTAATAACACTGATCAAACTGAGTGCAGTGACCTATTGGAGCCTAACGCTCTCGAGAAAGACGAATCCATGGACGTGGACGTTTCTGGAATGAGCAGTGGTCACGAAGAGGAGGGCAGTCATACGGAGGGTGGGAGCCCCATAAACACAGTAAGCAGTCATAGTGTCAGGGGCCCCTCTGGCCCTGCGGTGGGTACTTCAGCTATCTCTGCCCCTCTACCTCAGCTCAGTAACCTGACTGATCTGGGGAACTTCTCCATGATTAACAGCAATGTTATAATTGAAAATCTGCAAAGCACCAAAGTGGCTGTGGCCCAGTTCTCTCAAGAGGCTCGTTCAAACGGAGGCCCAAGAGTGGCAGTGCCAGCCCTTATGGAGCAGCTCCTTGCTCTACAACAGCAACAGATCCACCAGCTGCAGCTTATTGAACAGATTCGTCATCAGATACTGCTACTGGCTTCTCAGTCCCCAGAAATGCAGGTGCCCCCATCTTCAGCTCCAGGCACAATGGGGCCTGCTGCCAACCCACTGACCACACTCAGCTCCCATCTCTCCCAACAGCTGGCTGCAGCCGCAGGCCTCGCCCAGAACCTGGCCAGTCAGTCAGCCAGTATTAGCAGCCTAAAGCAGCTGGCTGCAGCGGCACAGCTACCTCAGTCCAATCCAAGCAGCAGTGAGTCATCTCAGAGCATTAGCACATTGGGGCCATCAACGGTCAATGCCCAGTCCTCTGACAAGAGGCCGAGTCATATGAGTAGCCTCCACTCTCAGCTCAGCAACCCCTCACTAGCTAAGTCATCAACGCCATCATTTGGTATGCGTAGCTTGTTAAGCTCTGCAGTAAATCCCCTTCTACCTCAGCCTCCACCTGGTAACCCCATGTTCTCCAGCTCTCTGCCCAACGTTGGCACCACTGTAGAGGACCTCAACTCTTTAGCAGCTTTGGCTCAGAGGCAAGGCAAGCAGCCAAATGTCACCTCATTTGAACACAAGAGCAGCTCTGACGATGCTTTCTTCAAGCATAAGTGCCGTTTCTGCGGCAAGGTGTTTGGGAGTGACAGCGCTTTGCAAATCCACCTGCGGTCTCACACTGGGGAGAGACCGTACAAGTGTAATATCTGCGGCAACCGCTTTTCCACCCGTGGTAACTTGAAGGTGCATTTCCAGCGGCACAAAGAAAAATACCCACACATCCAGATGAATCCCTACCCCGTTCCCGAGCATTTGGACAATATACCGACAAGCACAGGCATTCCATACGGCATGTCCATGCCCCCAGAGAAACCCGTCACCAGCTGGCTAGACAGCAAACCAGTTTTGCCCACTTTGACTTCCTCAGTCGGTATGCTGCTGCCACCGACGATGCCCAGCCTGCCACATTTCATCAAAAAAGAGGACAGTTCGATAGCCATAACTAGCCCTTCTGTTACTGCAAAGAGTGACTCAGGTGCTGCTGACCCTTCAGTTAAAAACAATGGTGGGGCCTCTGAAGAGGGTGAAGGTGCAACTCTGCCTACCTCAAATGAGAAAACTGAAGAAGGCAGCCACTCCTCAGGCCTCATGACAAATGTGAGCTCTGCTTCAGAGAGCACTGCCGATTACACAACATCTAACAGCCCACCCATGATGACAAACCCACTCATGCCTCTTATGTCTGATCAGTTCAAGGCAAAGTTCCCCTTCGGAGGCATCCTGGATCCTCTCCAGGGCTCAGAGACCTCAAAGCTTCAGCAGCTAGTGGAGAACATTGACAGGAAGGTGACAGACCCTAATGAATGTGTCATCTGCCACCGGGTTCTGAGCTGCCAAAGTGCTCTGAAAATGCACTATCGCACTCACACCGGGGAAAGGCCGTTTAAGTGTAAAGTCTGTGGCAGGGCGTTTACCACCAAAGGAAATCTGAAGACACACTACAGCGTCCACAGGGCCATGCCCCCTCTTCGAGTCCAACACTCCTGCCCTATTTGTCAGAAGAAGTTCACTAATGCTGTGGTTCTACAGCAACATATTCGCATGCACATGGGCGGACAGATCCCCAACACCCCTCTGCCAGAGAGTTACCCAGAGTCCATGGCCTCTGACACCGGCTCGTTTGAGGAGAGAAATTTTGATGACATGGACAACTTCTCTGATGATAACATGGAAGGAATGGAGGAAGGCCCAGATAGCAGTGTGCCAGACACCCCAAGGTCAGCTGATGCGTCACATGACAGTCTATGTAACTCCCCAGCTCCCCTCGAAATGGCTGGCCAGGAGGAGCAGGAGAAAAATGGCCAAGAGAATGCCCACAATAATGAGGCAGAGGTCAGCCACATGAAGGCTATGGCAAATGGCTTAGTTGAGGGAGATTGTCTCACCAATGACTCCTCATCTCTGGGAGGGGATATTGAAAGCCGGAGCGCTGGGAGTCCAGCTGTGTCAGAATCTACCTCCTCCATGCAGGCGCCATCTCCCACAAGCATGCATCCACAACCACACAAATCCCCAAACCTTGAAGAAAGGCACCAGAGAGCCTTATCTCTTGAGCACACTAGTGCAAGCCTCTTGCATACTCACCCCTCCAACATTGGAGCCCTGGACCTGACATCTGTCAATCCCTCAAAAGACCCCCTGGGCATGATATTCGCCTTTCGTGAGCGTAACATCACCAAGAACACATCATGTGACATCTGTGGGAAGACCTTCGCTTGTCAGAGTGCCTTGGACATTCACTATCGAAGCCATACCAAAGAAAGACCATTTATTTGCACGGCCTGTAACCGAGGTTTCTCCACCAAGGGCAACCTCAAGCAGCACATGCTAACCCATCAAATGAGGGACCTGCCCTCACAGCTTTTTGAGCCCTCAAACACCAGCTTGTCCTCCAGCCCAACCCCCTCCCTTCTGTCTGTCGGCTCCCTCAGCAAACCAGAGGTCAATGGCTTCCTCCATAGCCTCCACCAAGAAAGCAAGGAGATGCCCCTTGGCTTGGTTACATCCTCTGCCTCCACTTCGCCTGTGCTCTCTGCTGCTCCACCACGCCGGACACCGAAGCAACACTTCTGCAATACCTGTGGAAAGTGCTTCTCATCCTCCAGTGCTCTACAGATCCACGAGAGAACCCACACAGGAGAGAAACCCTTTGCCTGCAGCATCTGTGGTCGGGCCTTCACCACCAAAGGAAACCTCAAGGTAAATGTTGAAACATTTAGAAAAGTGTCCGTCTCCCAAAAGTCTGTGCGTAACAATGTTTGTGAAAGTAAGTTGAAGAGTTGCTCTTTAGTTTGTACAGATCAGTGCATGGCCATCAGACTGTGGTCATAGGTTTTCAAAATAGTAACATGTATTGCTTTTCAAGAAAAAATAACTTTGCTGTCAGGCTGAATGACACGGCTGATATAAATAATGAGCAGAAAATCCAACGTGAAAGCAGCTAAGAATGATTTAGTGCACAGAATTCATTTTCAGAGACCATCAGTCCCACAACATCCTTTGGTGTTTTTACATGAAAGTTTTGTCCGTGTCAATTCTTAAACCTAGTGGAAATCTTTGGATGCATGTTAATTTTTAACGGCTATTTGAATGTAGTTTGGGACTTTGGTTGAAACTGATGTTATTCAGAGATATATGAGCTCTAAATGTAAAAGTCACAGTTAAATTAACAGAAAACTGTCTCAAGGTTTTTAGAGTTTTAAAATGTGACTTTTTGTGAAGCAGGAAAAAAAATCGTGTTTCTGTCAGAAAAAGAGGAGACATGTCACGTACAGCGAGAGTGGACAGTTCAGTTTTACCAAAGGCTCTGTGCCCCCCCTGTGAGATGAACAAATTATGGTTTAGATAAAACAGCATGTGTCAGCCTCGCCAAAATAAGATGTTTACACCATGCTGGTACCTCTCACACCATAAGCAGCTAAATAGTCTGCTGCACCCAGGGTGTGAAGCTATTTTAATTTGGAGTCAAGCATTATTATTATTTTTTCCATTGCATCATCTCATGTGCAGCTCTATGGCCAAGTTTGTAAACATCGCTAATTTTCATCCCTCTCATTGCTCTGTCTTTCCCCTCCCTCCCTTTTATCCCACTTCTCTCTCCTCCCTTCTCTCTGTAAAGGTTCACATGGGCACACACATGTGGAACAGTGCTCCCGCCAGACGGGGCCGCAGGCTCTCTGTGGATGGTCCAATGGCCTTCTTGGGTGCGAACCCTGTCAAGTTTCCTGAGATCTTCCAGAAGGACATGGCATCGAGGGCAAGCAACGGCGACCCGGCTAGTTTCTGGAACCAGTACGCTGCGGCCTTCTCCAACGGCCTAGCGATGAAGACAAATGAAATCTCTGTCATCCAGAATGGAGGCATCCCACCCATGTCAGGCGGCTTGGGGAATGGGGGTAGCTCTCCCATCGGTGGCCTGACAGGCAGTCTGGACAAGCTGCACAGCATGGAGCCCAATGCAGCTCTCGCTGGTTTGGAGAAAATGGCCAACACGGAGAACGGCGCTCACTTTCGGTTCACACGTTTCATGGAGGACAATAAAGAAATCGTCACGAGTTAAAGCTTCTGTCCTCAGCTGTGCACAGACATATAAAATGCCTAAAGGCATCTTGTACACATATGTAGACACACACAGAAGGAGAAAAAAAAAGAAAGAGAACAGGACAGGGACAAAATCAACTGAACTGCTCTGCTCGCCATTGAATCTTTACGAACACGAGTGTGAAGACAAGTTGTTTTTTTGTACAATGTACATGTTATAGTTTTAAGGAGCTTATTTATTAGTGATTATAACCTTGCTTGAAACCAAGTGGAAGCATTAACAGTTAGGTTTTTGTTTGTTTTGAAGCCAGAATGGGTATGTATGGGTGCTTAAAAAATGTGCTTTTGAAACTTAGAATATCTGGGTAGATAACCTTACCTTGGCATTAAGTTATTTTCTGTATGTAGTAGCTATAACTGAACTGTTGATGTTCATGTGATGCATTAGCCCTGTAATAAGCAAACAGATTTGCTGTAAATATTGTACACTGATCTTCTGTAGATGGTCTAACATCCGTGTGTTCAAGCCTCCCTCCCCTCATCAAAGCGAAACAATTAAATTCAGGCAAGGGACTAAAGACTGTGTAGTAGTTCCTTTTTTTCCAAATGCTATTTACCGTTATTCTATTTAAGTTAGACAAAACTTTCAAGTTTGCGACATTTTAAGGGGTTTCTTTAGTGTTAACTTGTTTTGTTGTTACTGTTTCTGTGTATTGTACTTTCTACTCTTTGTTTACTTCCACATTTTTCTTTCCTTCAGTCTCTCTTTTTTTTTTTTTTTTTTTTTTTGTTGCCCGTATTTTGGTGTTGTGGAAAGCAAGACAGAAGGGAACATTCGGTCTGGCCTTTTTTTTTTTTTTTTTTTTAAACTGTTTTTTGGGAACTGAGACAGCCAATCAAATGAGCAGGATTCTCCTTTAGTTTCTCAGCTGGATTTCCACATTGCTGCTATGTCCCAGCATCCTCATTGACATCAAGTGCAAAGTTCTGTGTTGACGCTTCTGTAAATATGTTCAGATGTGGAAATACAAACTCCCTCCTTAGAAGATGTACATAAAGCTCACACAAGAGAAGTCCATCATGGCCAGGGGACAAAATGATAGTGTTTTTATAAATATAAATATATAATGGGTTTGACAACCTTTGGACTGTTACATGCACTTTCTTGGAAAGTTGGAAGATCTTTATGGGTCCAGTTTCTCTACACTTTAATACCTACTAACAACTAAGATACTGTAATTCTTTACTCTAATAATCAAATACATCAGTTTTCCAAAAGAACCACTGTGTGTTTGTGTGCCTTTATTCCCTCCTTTATTTACCTCATCATCAAATATATACTCACTCTAATTTTTCATGCTAAAAACTCGGATTTAAACATTTTATTTTGAGTCGTTTCTGCAGCATGTTCACCTCAGTGTGCTTCTTTTTTTTCACTGACACGGTGCAGAAGCATGACCTGAGCTTGACTGTAGTCCTGAAGGTGTTGAGAGCTAACCTCCTCTTTCATTTCAATCTTAATCACCGTTTCAAAGTCTTAAATCGCTTTGCCAATCCTTGAAAATGCCAAATAATCGCTAATCCTCGGAATAAAGTAGATGAAGGCTTTCCGATGCGGAAATAAACACTTGACTCGAGACATTAATTTAAAGCCTACGTATTTATAAATGCAGATTTTTCAAACGTTTTATTATTTTTCTCTCTTTTTGCCCGTCGATAATATTAAATCGTGGATAATTCACCGTGTTTGTTTGTTTCTGCTTTGTTTTTAAGTGCATCTTATTTCCATCCGGAAGACGTCTGTTTTTGTGTTAGCTCTTGAGCCTCGGACAAAGTTGTCAAAACGATCTCATGGTTGTCCGGTTAAAGCCTCTGGCGGCTTTGACGGCACTTGCTGTGCATTTTTTTTCTTTCTTATTTAAACTCCAAAATTTCCCCTTTGTATTACAACAGCTGCATTTAATTTAACACATCGTTGCACATCCTGCAGTCCAGGATCTGTTCATTTGTGTCCTGCATCCTCGGCGCTCTCCTCCTCCTCTTCCTCCTCCTCACCGAGACCAAATCTACAATATTTACGTTTTATATTTCAGGACGTCGAAGCTAAATGATCCTTACCCTGAGCCTGTTTTCTTTGTAACAGTCAGCTCTGCTCCAAGAGCTCTGTTTATGCTGAGCATCGGCTCCCTGACACACTCTCGTAAAAAGACGGAGAGAAAATAAAACTACTCTATATTTTTATTGCTCTGCTGCATTTTTACCTACAACTTAAATTTCCGATCATTAAGAAACTTTTGTGTCTTCTTTAAAAAAACATGTATAATCCATTATTATATCTTTAGTTTTAGTTTAATTATAAATAATTATATTACACTAAAAAAAATAAAAAGACGTTCAAGCCACAAAATTACTGATTATAAAGGTACAGGAACAGTTTATGCTCCATGTAAATTAATTTAATATTTTAATTCAGATTAAAAAAATATTGAACAGGATAAATAAATACTATTTGTGTGCACCAAAAAAGGTAATAAATAGGAGTAAACAAACGCTGTATCTCTGTGCATGTAGTCCCTCCAGTGTGTGTGCAGAGAGCTTCCTTTTGCTTCCTCGCTGTGCTATCGATTGAGCTGTGCAGTATTACAGAAACACTTGAATCTCAGGTGGCAGGAATGTGTACAATTGATCTCTTCCACTGTGGCTCCCAGCAGTGACTTCTTTGCTCCACAACACAGAGCAGCACAGGAAGAGCCGGGCCAACACACCGAAACACAATCGCTGTACACTAAGAGGGGCTGTCCCTGTCTGCCTGTACACTGTCACTATTTATTGTGGTGCTGAGAGTCTCATCCACTGCTCTGCACACACTCTGACATGTGCTCTCAGGGCGCACAGATCATGTGCTCTGTGTTAAAAGCACTTATACAGAGTTGTGTGTTGTTGTAAAAATGTTGCATCTTAACAGCTTGAGAAAAACATCCCTACATATTTCTGATTTATTCTGAACATTTTATCTTGTGTTTATATTTTAACTGTGTGTGGTTTGTTTCCTTGTCAGAGCTAAATGGCTGGATGGCCTCTTCCTGCAGCGTCTGGAGAGAATGGGAACCATCAGCAGAGAAACATTACTCTCTTTAGCTGTAGGCCACTCCTGTCCACTTACTGTACACTGGAAGGTTCATTAAAGGGTTGGTCTTAAGTAGGGGCTGTATGCACAGCTGCCACACTGGAAAAATCACATCATTTGTTCCCAGTGAAAGGTAACTTGTTGGGGAATTATTGGACTTTCTTTGCAAAGCCGGTTGAGGTGATCTACCTTATTGTTTTGTTTTGTCATAAAAGTGGACTCTGTGATTCTTCACATGGTTGTAATGGATACTTAAGATATTGAGTGAATTGAAACAGGTTATTGAATTAAAAGAGAGTTATAAAAATAAAAAAATATATATTCAGAAAATATTTTAAGAATGTCACTTATGTGAGAAAAAAAAACAGGATTAATTGGCTATTTTGTCTTACTTAAATTAATTACTGATAATGATTATTTTTTATTTCTACAACTGCTTTTAAATTCAGGTATGTTATGTGTTTGTTTGTTTTGTTTTCTACATGTGTGAACAAATGTAAAAAGAAGAAAATGAAAACAATTCAAGTTCTCTGCTTCTTGTGCCATCGTCAGTATCATCAGGGGTTTAAAACCTGTCTAACATGTCTCGTTTCTATTCCCCTCGGCCTCTCAGCTTGCAGCTCCAGCTGAGATGAAGCTGCACGGACACAGTCTTGGGAAGCCCGAGCCCCCTCCCTCCCTCCACACCACCAGCCATGTGCTGTCAGCCCTCCTGAGTCGATACAAACTGTAGCCTGGGGCCCGGCCTGGACTCCCAACTGAGGTTCTGGCCCACCATTGGGGGATCAAAGACCCGTCGAGAACAAAGGTGAGCCTCATTTAGACCACCGAGGTTCACTTTCCCCAGACGCGCCACTACACCTGCACACGCTGTCAATCACTGTCACTCAGGAGATTGGTCTGCTCCAAGGCCTGGCGCATTTACACGTTTATACTGTATGTGAAAAAGTCTGTTAGTTAAATACATTGCAGGGTTTGACCACATCATTTGTCCATTTGTTATTTTGAATAATCCTCAAACAGACAAGTTTGGTAATGAACTTTATTTGGCAGTTCAGCGTGGTCATTTGTTTCAGACGTTTAAAGAAGCAGATCTCCTGCTGCTTTTGGGGACAGAATGAAGGATGACACAAGGTATGGAGAAATTTGATTGTTAAACCACAGATATGAAATATTGTCAGTATTATGACAGAGAGGTGTGTTTTTATTTTGAAACAGCAGTCTTGTGTAAGCGTTCATTTCCTTACTGTGACCTAAAATTGCGGTCGATTGTACAAGAAAGTGATTATTGCTGTGATATTTATGTTTGTGTAAGCCTAACCCTAATTTTCCTCATCATTTTTCCTCCAGCCATGTCCTGCTGGTTTTATCTTCCTGTGGTTCCATCGTGCTTCCTGTGGAAAACGGAGCCCATCTGCAGCGTGTACACAGCTGGTTGGAAGACAAGACCTCCAGATTGTGAGTACAAACAAGGAGCAGGATTTTTCAGGCCTGTACACTCTCACAGTTATCACAGACGAGCAATCAAAGTCTTTGAGGGAATATCCATCTTCCACTAAAGAGCAGACACTTTTTTTTCACTCCGCTCCTGTTTGTTCTTGATTGAAGTTGTGCTTTGGTCTTATGAGGGTTTGGAGATTGTCTTTGCATGGTTTATTTTTATGGCACAGCAATCTGGAGACTGTCCAAAAGTTAAGGTCATTTATCTTGCAGTTCATCCGCTCCTTGGCTTTTGTGTGGTGAGATGGAGAAGCACAGAGTCATATTGCATTTCATGAACCTTTGTGTCAAACGAGCACCCAGACAAACAGGTGGGAGCCCCAAGACTCACCAAACTCGAGGCTTCGTTCTTTAATAAGTCACTCATGCTTGCAGTGCGGCTTCGGCACTCTGTTTCCCCCGTGGTCAGATGGGAACCTTCAGGGATGCTAATGAACATACAGTGAGGGTTTGTCTCAAACACAGAGCCCCTGCTATCTGCATCTCCCAGTTTATCATCACCACTGAAATTGCAAGGCCGTTTTACTGAGCTTTTACCACAAGCAGGACATTAAGCCCATTGTGATGCTAATTCTTTAAAATTTGATGTCTTGGGTTTGTTCTTTCAGGTCAGGCTAGCTTTATGAGACGGGCTCTTTTGACAGAGTACAAGCACCTTTTTTGTTGTCAGGGAAAAAACCTGCAGTCGAGGGTTTGTCCTCACTGCCCCGTAAAGACAAATTAAATTTAATGTGCATTTCCATTTGACGATGAATCACATGTTTCCTTGTTTCGTACAGTAGAAAGGAGACAGATCGTCTTTCTCTGGTTTTAAAGAACAGCTTGGAGATTAAGTAGGCTGATTGTGGCCCTTTCACCATCAGAATTACAGTGGGTAACCCAAGCCAGGCATGTCTGCTCCGCAGCTCAAACACACACAGAGTTGGGGGGACACTCTCTGTTAATGTCATCTCACAGATTCAATTTCCACATCACAATCTTACCTCCAGTCCCACAACCTCTGACACATATTCTTATTCGTTCTCACAGTGTCAAAGCATGCTAGTGAGATGGAGAGATATTCCGCGTCTGAGGAGATATTGATATTGAGTGTCAAGATGGGATGTCAGAGGGACAAGGAAGAAGCCCTTCAGCCGCATGTCAGGTGTGTTTGATTCCATAGGTGCTCCACAGAGATGTCTTGAGTTTATTGAATTTGTCATTTTCGGCCTCGGAGTGAAAAGGGCACCTGTGTGCTGCCGTTAGCCCCCCCCCCTTCTACCAGGACTGCCACCCACATCACACCATGACAGCCGATGTGCAGGGACAGCCCTGAAGCTGTTGATTTTTTTGAAAGCAGTGCGTACATTATTCATCAGGGAAACAGCTGAAAGGATATTTACTTTGTCAATTTTCTCATAAAAGCCTCCTTGGGCACAAAAAAGTCACCCATGGTTACAGCAAGAAAAGGGTAGCTATTTCAGAGGCAGGTTCAGAGCTCTGTCAGACTGAAACTGAAGGCCGTTGTAGCTGCGGCCACCCACATGAGTGCTGGATCAAAGCAACAGTCTGCTACAGTGGCTGAATATTCAGTGACGTTATTGGAGTGTGATAGGTGCCTCTGTGGGAAAATAAGGAAAGTCTGATTCAAGTGTCTTTTTATAAGATTTTGGGT